GTTCCCGCTCCCCTGCCCCAAACCTGTCCCCTGCCCTCCTGCCTCGCTGTTCCCTCTCCCTTAACCCCCTGCAGAAACCTGCCCCCCCCTGCAGAAACCTGTTCATTCTGGCACCCTGTCCCCTACTGCAGAAACCTGTTCCCCTGCCTTCCCCACTACAGAAACCTGTCCCCTGCTCCCCTCTGCAGAAACCTGTCCCCCACCAGCACCCTGTCCCCTGCTGCAGAAACCTGTCCTTCTGGCACCTTCTGGCACCCTGCCCCACAATCCACTAGCACCCCTCCTCAGTACTGTGTCCCCTGATCCCAAATGACTTTTCTATGGGTCAGTGACCCCTGACTCAAGGCAGGTTCCCTGTCAGTCTCATAAATGAAGACAATGCAGAAACTTTTTGTGTTTAACATAGTATTTTATTTAAAAATGAAGCCTGGCCAACAAACCCCCAATTGGGGCCAAGCCCCCATCTGGCCACAACCACTCCTGCATTCCCACTTCCCCAGACCCTAGCTCTGAGCCTATCAAACACTGGAACACCCTGCCCTGAGCCCCTCACGTACCCCAACCCAAATTCCTGTACCCTCACATCCACGAGCCTGTCACTTGTTTAGTACCCCAACTCTGCCCGGCCTGGAGCTCCCTCCCCGAGCCAGCGTCCCCTTCTCCACCTCCTCCTGCATCCAGATTTCCTCCCAGAGTTTGCACCTCTCACCCCTTCCCTCACCCAAATCCCTCATTCCCACCCCAGAGACTGCACATCCTGTCTCAACCCAGTGAGGGTCCGGCTAGACTGCTGGAGTTTTTCAGGATTCTGGAGATATCCCAGAAAAATTCTTCTGCATCCAGGGTTGCGTTTGTTCTTCCGCTTTTTTAGTGGAAGAGCAAACATGCTCTTTTGGTCACCCCTATATTCCTCTTTCCACTAGGAATAAGGGGGCTTCCAAAAAAAGGGGTTTTTTTCTGACATTTGGTCCAGTCTAGACAGGCCAAATGTTGGAAAAACCTATTCCTACAGAAGAATTTTTTTTAAAAAAGCAGCGGTATAAGAATTGGGGATAGCAAGTGATGGAGATGAGGAGAATAGAGAGGGCGGGGCTTCAAGGAAGGGGCGGGGCGGTAGATCTTGGCTTGGTCTGTCATTTAAAAAGTGTTCTTGGGTGTAAAAAGGTTGGAGACCACTGATCTAGACAGTACTGGGTCCTGCATGAGGGCAGAGGACTGGACTCGATGACCTCTCGAGGTCCCTTCTAGTCCTAGTATTCTATGATTTTAACAAGACCTGAAAAAATATAAAATATATCTAAAACATAATCTATAATAATAAATAATTATGACTTTCTGATAAAAGTACATTTTCTTTCGTGGCCCTGAAAGCTATCAGTTTCCATTTGTGCGGCCCTAGGTAGGCTTCAAGTTTGACACGCCTGTTGTAGAACCTAGGAGTCATCAGGGTGCAGGACTGTCTCAACCACGCTTCCTTTGCCTCTGTACTTCCTGAGATGCCTCATGTGCTGGAGGATCCAGAGCTTTGGCGGGGGACTTTCTGAACCAGAGTAATTTACTAAGAGGGCCTTCCAGCCACTTTACCCAGTGCACATGCTATTGTGCACAGAGCGCAAAGGAGATTTTTCAGCACCCAAGAATCCTCTTTGGAGGGAAGCTGGGACACTTCATTACTGAGCTCCCTGTCTGGGGCTTTCTTTATTTTAAAATACAGACGAGCTCAAAGATAAATGTCACAATGCCAGTTCACGGCATGAAGGGGCGAAACTCCACTACACAAGCCCAGGCAGTACAGTGCAGAGTTCTATGGCTTCATACATCACAGTTGTACAAATGCACACTCACAAAGTGTGTTCCTGGCAAATTATCCTTCTCAGCTGCAGTCCCAGGGACACAACCACACACTGTTGCTTCTTGATAACTGTTTTCCTTTCCCATTAGAAATCTAAGCAAGAGATTGACGAAGAGGGACCAGCACTATCCCAGAAGGAGGGAATTGGTGGCAATGTCAAGCTGTGCTGCCTGCAGCCCCTGCTGGAAGTGACAATCCGAGAAGCTGAAGCTCAGCCCTTTGAAGTGCTCATGCAGTTCCTGTACACGGATAAAATAAAATACCCACGCAAAGGTAGGGCAGCTGGAGGAAGGTAGTGTGCAAGCCAAACCTGGCCCATAGAGACCTTTTTAAAAAAATAATGAAAATTGAATACTAACAATTTGAGAGTAAATATTTCTATTTATCAGCTGTGCAATCACTGCTGGAATTCTGTGTCCAGCTCTTGTCCTCAGCTCAAGAAGGATGTTAAAAAATCAGGAATGATTCAGAAAAGAAATCCTAAAGTTATTAAAGGATTAGAAAATATGCTTTGTTGTCAGAGACTCAAGGACATCATTCTATTTATCTTAACAAAGAGAAGGTTAAGTGACTTGATTGCAGTCTGTGAGTCTTACATAGGAGAAAGTATTTAATAGTCTTCAGTCTACCTGAGAAAGATAAAACATAATGCAATGGCTGGATGTTGAAGCTACACAAATTCAGACAGGAATGTAAGGCAATAGATTTTTAGTAGTGAAAGTCATTAACAATGAATCACTGACCATTTAAAAATCAAGATTGAATGTTTTGCTAAAAATCTCCTTTAGGAGCTACTCTGGAGAAGCTCTGTGATCTGTGTTAAACAGGAGATAAAACAAATGATAATATTGCTAATCTCCCTTGGTTCTCGTACCCTAATTACTCAAGATGACACCAGAAATTGGTTTGAGAACATTTCTGACCTCTCTAGATATCTCTGAAGAATCTTCTATTAGCAAGTTCTCTAGAGCTATGTAATGGCACTGTTTCCCTTTGTGATGTACAGGTCATGTGCAAGATGTACTACTTATCATGGACGTATACAAATTAGCCCTGAATTTCAAGCTCTCACGACTGGAACAGCTCTGCCTCCAGTATATAGAAGCATCTGTAGATCTGCAGAATGTGCTCATTGTGTGTGAAAATGCTAACAAGCTTCAGCTGGATCAGCTAAAGGTAAACACTGAATTTTGCTAACAAGATTACTGATAAGAATTAGAACTCAGGGTAGCCAATGTAGCTATTGACTCGTGGACTAAACTTAAGTTGTTTTGTCAGTTTCAAGGCTTTTACGGTGAATTTGAAATTGGAGGCAGCAACTAAAATGTCCAGCTGAGGCTCAGCCTCAGCATTAAATTAGAGTCTCTTCCTCTACCTTTAAGGCCTGCTCTATATTACAGAGTTTGGTCAACCTAGGCCAGCTCATGTTGACCTAGCTCTGTAAGTATCTATACTAAATGTAGCGCCCATCAAAGTAAGTCACCCAATACAGCAATGTAATAACTCCGCTTCTGTGAAAGGGGTAGGTCAGTGTAGTTGGGGTGATGCAGTTTCCTTGTAGACACTGCATTACTTATATTGCCTGTTGGGTGTCAGCCCTGGAGCTAGGGAGGTGAGCCCCCCCAGTGCACCACACAGTTAAATCGGTGGAAACACTCCTGGTGAATAGATACATCTCTGACAGAAGGAACATAATGTGGATATGAACCATCACCAATGTTCCCTCTAACATTTTCAACCTTTGGACAGGTTGAATTTTCTTATGTGCAACACAAATATTAAGGTAAAGTGTGAATGTGCACCACCAATACAATCGATAAACCTATATATAAATATATGTATATATTTAGACTCTTAGCAGGCTCCCTTCCTGCCCCACCACCCACACTGCTGAAAGCAGCCACATGCTGGAGCCATGTGCATCTCTGCAAGGCCTGTGTCCCTTGGAGGGGTGGGGAGGTATGCGTGTGCTGTTTCTGCCCCTCAGCACAATCCAGTGGAAGCTGCCTGGGCTGTGCATGTGGATACAGGCAACTCACAGAGTCCCCTTTCCCCCATGAAGTGTACCATGTAGATGCACACACGCTGGCCCCAGCCTCTTTGAGAGGTTTGGGGAGGCATGGCAGACAGGAAGCCTGCTTAAGAAGCCCATCTGGGCTGCTGCTTGGGAGTCACCTAGACCAGTGTTTCTCAACCAGTGGTACAAGTACCCTTAGGGGTACTCGAGATTAGTCTGGGGGGTACATCAACACAATTGAAATTGGGAGAAAACTGAATTTTTGTTTTAAGTTTTAGAGCACTTTATTAATTTGTACTTTTTACACCCAAAAGTTTCATTCACCCGCCCAGGTATGATTAAGTTGTTTAAACAAATGTGTTGCAATGGTAGAAAAAAAAATTGTGTGTCTGAAAACTGTAGGTATTGGGGGTACTTTTTTTTTAAGGGGTACTTTATAAGAAAAAGTTAAGAAACACTGACCTAGACTAAACACCTTCTCGTCAGAGCCTGCACCTTACACCCCAGCGCCTGCACCCCAACCCCCTGCATCTCTTATTACACCTCCACCCACGTCACAACTCCCTCCCAGACCTGCACCCTGCTCCCAGGTCAGAATCTACTCCTGCACCCAAACCCCACACTCTCTCCACTGATATAATAGAAAAATGTGCCCTTTGACCATTAGCAAATTCTTGTAGTGTTCCCCCCCCCATCAATAATTATTACCTACTTCAGTCTAGAAGGTGCATGGTTCTGCCCTTATTGCAGAAGAATAGATTTGATGACCTCTTGAAGTCTGTTCCAGTCCTGTTTCTGTGATTCTTACCACCCTAGACAGCTACATGATCGAAATGGACAGAATTTATAATTTCATAGATGACTTTGTTTCACAGTGATAATAACAACAGAGGTGTTACTACTTTTCAAGGGGAGGTATTGTTGCAGCAGTGCATAAGATGTATATACAGATGCACCTTGCATCACATTCACCCGTGCTCATGAAAGCCCATTCCACCAGTGCAGAGACAGTGTTTTCAACTTTTCTATGAAACATCCCTATTTCAAAGTTTGCAGGGTTTGGTAGGTATAAGGTGACTGCTTGATAGTCATTAGAAGTGGAATCTATGTGAACAGTCGTGTAAAGAAGAATGAACAGTTATTTACCTTGTAGTAACTGTGGTTCTTTGAGGTGTGTTGTTCAAGGTATGTCTAGACTGCAGAGCTTTTCTGGGATACCAGAGGTGTCCTGGAAAAGCTCTGCTGCGTCCAAAGAATGCATCTGCTTTTTCCAAAAAAAAATCGGAAAAGCAGATGCATTTTTTCGGCATCCCTGTAAACCTCGTTTTACAAGGAAGAAGGGATGTTCCGGAAGTGGCTTTTTTTCTGACATTTGGCCCAGTGTAGGCGGGCAAATTGTCGGAAAAGCCTCTTTCTGATAAAACTTTGTAGTCTAAACACAGTCTCACATGGCTTACACCACCCACTTCCTCTCCCGTATCTACTGTTTCCTTCTCTTCTAGGATTTTGTTTTGGTGAAGGAGGTGATGGTTGGGCCTGCTCTGGCCTTTGTGGATACGTGTAAACTGCAATAAAAGTGTATATTTTACACCTGATTTGGGCTCATGGGGCTATAAAATTGCAGGGTAGAAGTTTGGACCTGGTCTGCAGCCTGAGCCTGAATGTCTACCCTGCCATTCTTAGTTCTGCAGCGGAAACCCCCAAATCCCAAGTCAGTTGACCCAGGCTATGAGACTCAGTGCTGTGGGTTTATCATTGCATTATGGACATGCTGTGCCTCCTTCAGGACGAGGCATGAAAATATCCAGCATACAGATGCAGCCCTAGTGCATACTGTTGGCCAAAAAAATCAAATACACATAAAGTGCATCTGCCACAGAAGTGAAATCTAGATGGATAACACATCTTTAAGAATGTCAGTTACTGTAAGATGATTCTTTATACACAAATGAAAATGTTATGCTTCTGATGTAAAGGGTTAGAAAAAGATGTCAAATATAGCATGATTTGAGCGATTGCATGATTGTGTAATGTTAGCATGTCATAACACATAAGCTTAAGTAGGGAGAAACAAGGTTTTGCATTCAGCCGTAATGGGCATTTCATTCTGAGTGCTTAATTTTATGCATATTTATTGTTGCATTGAAAACAACTTATTGCATTTAATATCAGTAAGAATAACAAAGGTCCTGCTATCACATGATACTGTTTTTTCAGGTTCTGGTAAAAATCATCTAGTTTTCTTGTTAATACTATCAAAAGTCTTCTGTGGGATTTTGGATGGATGCTTTGCAATGCTTTTTCTTCTGTTCTGTTTATAATTATAAAGTTTTCTCAAGTGAAACTTTTTCACTTTTTAAGGAACACTGCCTGAACTTTGTGGTTAAAGAGTCACATTTTAATCAGGTAATAATGATGAAGGAATTTGAGCACCTTTCCCCACCCCTGATAGTGGAGATAGTACGAAGAAAACAGCAACCTCCTGTTCGAACACATTCCGATCAGCCTCTGGACATTGGTAATGTGTTTTTGTTCCTGAACTAATAATCAATTTATTTCCTTGAGCTTGTAATATGAGGAGTCTTGTCTACACCCAGGAGTAGCTGATTGCTCGTCATTGATTGCTCCGTCAGTCTAGTGGCATGCCTTTTAGGTACAAACAAGGACCTGTTAATATTTATTTAGTTAGTTAATAGAAACAGACCTGATGACAGTGATTCACATTTCTAACTTTCGGGCTCTATTGTTTCTACTCACTGTATCTGATACTGAATCATGACACAGCTCCAGGTGATGCAAAACACTGTGTCTCTACCAAGTTAGAAGTACAACCTGGTTGTGCATTTAAGGCCAGCTCAAGGGCCTCCAGGCCCCACTAAATTAAGAATGAAATGCAAATTCACTTCTTTGCATTATCCTTTCCTCCAGGTTTAAATTCTCCCATGCTCATGTGGTGCTTCTGTGTTTAAATACATACACTGATGGAAAGCCATTATGTCCCTAGAAAGACTCTTCCTGATACCTAGTGACATGGTGTGCCACAGCTGGGAGCCCTCTGCTAAAATATTGTTTGCCCCAGTGCATCCATTATTCCCCTGCTTTCCATTAGCTTGTAGAACATGGATCAAGACAAGGCATGAGTCATTGTCAGTACCCCCAGTTGACCAAGACAGTTTTGGTTCCCGAACCTCCTACTGGTGTCATACTACCCTTCTATCAGTATCCATTCATTTCCCAGTCTTTTGACCCAGGAGAGGAACAGGATCAAGCATCCCATCCCTGAGATGTTTCATCTTTCAGTTTGGTTTTTGGATGGCTATCACCACTAGAACTTTGTGGCTCAGAAGCTGTACAAAATGCAGGACAATGTAGCACTTTAAAGTGCTACATTGTCCTGCATTTTGCTTCAGCTACCCCAGACTAACACGGCTACATTTCTATCACTATTCTAGAAGCTGTACAGACCATCCTCTTATCTGCAGAGGACAGCATTGATTAGAAAATCTCCCAAACTATTTGTGTCCAAAGTCAGGCTATCTCCTCTGAGGTTCTCTGCATGGACCTCAGATTGTATCTTACTCTGTTGTCAGTTGTGTCCATTTCCTCCACTCCACACAGGGTGAGCCCAAACATTGTCTGTAGTTTGAGGGCATGTCTTTGGTTAACATATAAAGCAGCTGTATGGATTTCCATTCATATGTCTAAGTCATTTTGTTTTAGTAGAGGACTCTGCTGTTGACACATCCTTTGGGTCAGTAGTCCTTCATGCCGCTCTACCACCAGCAACCTCACACACTTTTTTTCTTGAACACTGCTTGTCGGTATTACTTATTAGTCACCCACTGTGAAATACACATAGGGACCAGCACTTAGAGAAGAGGAAGTTATTTACCTTACAGATTATTTGAGATTTGTGGTCCCTATCTGTATCTCACTACCCACCCTCCTTCCCCTCTTCTTTGGACCTTGATTATATTCAGGTACAACAGGAACTGGAGAGGTGGTTGGTGTGCTTCATTTTTTTATCTTCTTGAGTGAAGGCCCAAGGAATATAAGGGTGCATGTGTGGGCCAGTGGGCATTTTCTTCAAAATTCTGACTCTGGGAGCATGGAATATATGTGTATCACAAAGATACCCCACATCTCAGAAAGAGCCTCTTGTGGCACTGAGAATGTGATGAAGTTCCTACCTATCAATAACTCCCTTGATCCCACGGGAAAACGTATGCAGATGTGGCTCAACCATGTATTAACTTTAAAGCAGCTGTTTACCTGAAATGTGTTTTCTCTTTAATCATTGCTCTGTATTACCTCTGTCAGGAACATCTTTGATTCAGGATATGAAAGCTTATCTAGAAGGAGCTGGAATTGAATTTTGTGATATCATCCTGCTATTAGATGGCCACCCAAGACCGGCACATAAGGCAATTCTGGCAGCCCGTTCTAGGTGTGTACACTCTAATCCGTCACTTACTGAAACTTAGAAACTTTTCAAAAAGTCATCATTTACTAGAGTGGTAACAGATGTCGTGGGTACCAGTACCACAGATTGCTTCTTGGATCGGCTTGTTTTGAAGCACACAATACACTTCTCTCCTTTAGGCTTCTCTTCACTGAGATGTGAGTAACAGACAGGATTTTTCCCCCCAGAAATTAAATATAATTGAGCCAGTAAGCAACATTGACTAAAATGTTAATGAGTTTGTCATCAAAATCTTAATTGAATGATAAAGTCTGTATCCTACCACAGTTTCAAAAAGAAGCAAATAATCATGCATAGAACTACTGTCATAAGAATGGCCATACTGAGTCAGATCAAAGGTCCATCTAGCCCAATATTCTGTCTGCTGACAATGGTCAGTACCAGATGTCCCAGAGAGAGGCAGGATCCCTCTCCTGTCACCCATTTCCACACAAACAGAGGCACCATTCCTACCCATCCTGGCTAATAGCCATTGATAGCCCTAACCTCCATGAATCTATCTAACTCTTTTTTGAACCCTGTTAAAGTCCTTGTCTTCACCACATCCTCTGGCAAGGAGTTCCACATCTTGACTGTGTGCTGAGTGAAATTAAGTTATTATTGTCATTAAGTGAAAAGGAGCAAGTGTTTATTCTACGGCCTCTGCAAGCAATCTCATGTCCCTTTAAATTGCTTGCTGCTCTCTGCTCAGAACACTGGGGAGGAAGGGTGAAGGCTTTGCATGCTGCCCCTGCTTCCCAGCAAAATCTGTCAGCTTCCTTTGGCCAGTTGTGTGCTTCAAAACAAGTTGCTGAGAATGGAGCACCTACAGGGACATCTCTTGAGGAAGAAGTGAGAGTTAGTTACCTGTGCAGTAACTGAGGTTCTTTGAGGTGAGTGTTCCTGTGGATGTTCCACTACCCACCCTCCTCCCCTCTACTGTGGAGTTATGTCTCTGCGGAAGAAGGAGACCTGAGGGCTTCAAGTCTTCCACATGGCACTTTAAATGAAGGGGAGGGTTATGAGGTGCACCCCATGCACACATGACCCAGAGGGACATTGCTGCAGAAATCTCTGTACCAAGGCACAGGGATGCACCAATGCCTAGAATGGAGCATCCACAGAGGTGCTCATCTTGAAGAACATCAGTTCTTCTTCGAGTGGCCCCGGGGGTGCTCCACTCCTGGTGTCGGGGCCCGTCCTGGCGCCGCGAATCGGAGAGCTATCAGAATGTTCGTGCCTTTGATGTGTTGGCCGCAGACCGGCCTCGCTCAGTTCCTCTCATCCGCCCCTGGTTGCAGACGGAGCTCCCTTTCTGTCAGTTTCAGTTTCAATCATTCTCTTCAAAAGTCTTCACAATTGTAAATAGTTCAGAGCCTTTCATCAGCTACTTCTTTCTTCAATAGTTTCTAGTTGTTCAAAAGAAAAAAAAAAAACTTTTCCTCAGACGTTTCAGGCAAGCCATTGCCGCTACCTGTCTTTAAAAAAAAAAAAGAGAGAGAGAGAGAGAGAGAGAACCGCCTCGGTTCAACAAAGTAAGGGGATAGACGGAGGAGAGATAGCAGCTGGTCAGTTTCTCTCTCCCGGCTACTTTCAGCGATGCCAGCATTCCCCTGGTTTAAGAAATGCTCCATCTGTAGGGAAGCCATGCCGGTGTCAGACGGACATGACTCCTGTGTCAGGTGCTTGGGTCACACACATGTCCCCTAGAAATGCATCCACTGCAGTAAACTAACTACAAGAGCAAGAAGGGATCGGGACCTGCGCCTGAAACTGATCCTGTATGGCAAGGCACTGGAGTCTGATGCCGTTCCCGCCTGTGGGACAGCAATCCATAAATGGCGGGCAATGTCTCCTGGGACAGCCATTACAAAGAAAAAGAAGGAGTCCCCAACTCGATCTCTGCCGGTGACCAGCAACACAAGATGCCTTGAAAAATCATCTGGGGCAACTACTCCAGGATATCAACAGGCTCCCAAAGCAAGAAGATCGCCTGAGCCAGGGCTGAGAGCGCAAGTGGCATCGGCACCGACAGCAGCACAAAAGCCAGCATCACTAAGGGCTGCTCAAGTGGCACCAGCTGCAGCAGGGTTAACCCCCTCAGTGCCAAATCTGCAAGTCTTGCCCGCGGCACCACCAGCATCGTGCGATATGCCGGCACCATCAGCACCGCCCCCATGTGGAGTCTCTTCTGCACCGTAGCCACGTTTGGCCGCAGGCTCTCCAGCAGCATGTGAAATTGACAAGGCTTCCCTGCCTTGCAAAGCTGCGGAAAAGGAAACTTACAGAGCATTATCTCCCTCGCCTACCTTCTCTCCGGGACCATCTCCTTCTCCACCCAGGTACCGACGGCACCGAGACTATAGCCTTTCTCCTACTTACCAAATACTTAAAAGACCCACACATGAGGATGCTGTCTGTATAGAAACAAGTTCTCATTCACCCAGAAGGTCGCCAAGGCGTAGATCATCTAGACGATCACTGCGGTGGGTCTACTATATCCACAGTTCGAGATCCTCCAGATGCTGTTCTCCAGCACGGTCCGAACAATACTATGGGCACTACTACAGGGCTGACTGATTGTCCCCACCCTGGGCATGCTATCCTATCTTATAGGGGCTCGTCATGTACCCACCCATCACCCAGTGCACAATACTTACCTGAGTGTCCACAGCAGTTGCTCTCGCCGCCCCCATTGGAAAACTTGACCGTCCATCAAGAACAGTTGGAACCAGAAGAGGGCCAATTGTTCGAAGCAAAAGATCCTCAACCGCACATTTCCCCAACCGACTGTTCCTCTTCTTCACCTGATGAGGCAATGATTCCAGACTACGCCTCTCCATTGGATGACCTGAAGCAATTCACACAGGAAATACAATTAATGGATGTTCCCATCAAAAAACATCATCTCTTGAAGAATCTGTGACAATAACAGTGAGCAAAAATCACCCTTCCTAATGAGGCAATCATGGAAGTGGCAGACGAAATATGGAAGCCCCCTACACCCCCTGCCACAACAAGTATGAAGGTCGACAGGAAATATTTTGTGCCTGCCAAAGGGTTGGATTTCCTTTTCAATCACCCCCAACCCAATTCCCTTGTAGTTGATGCGGCGCAGCGCAGAGCTAAAGCACCTCAATACAGAAACACATTGCAAGACAAAGACAATAAGAAACTAGATGTTTTTGGTAGAAAAGTTTACTCTTCGGTTACATTATTATGATGTATTGCAAACTATTTGACCCATCTCTCTAACCACAATTTTGATAATTATTCAAAGTTTACGGAACTACTACAACATCTTCCTGATGCCAAGAAACCCTTACTGAAGGCCATAGTCCAAGAGAGAGATATATCCTCTAATACTACTTTGCAGATGGCTATGGATGTTGCTGACACAGCTGCATGGGCCACAGCTGTGGGAGTCGTGATGAGACGGTCTTCCTGGTTATCCTCTTCAGGAGCTCCGCGGGAGCTTCAGAATAAAGTTGAAGACCTACCTTTTGATAAGCAAAAACTCTTCGCTAGTAACACTGACGAAGTTCTCCATTCTGGCAAGGACTCCCGTACCACTTTACATACACTGGGAATGAACACAGCTCCCTATAGGCACAAATGGTACTATCCCTATCAACGAAGGTATGATTATACATTTAATAAGAATCAACCACGTACCCAAAAAAAACAGTGCTTCCGACAGCGTCCTCACTGTAAATGATCCCAGACAAAACGCTCATCCAATCAACCTGCACCAAAGCAGCAAATGTGACTTCCCCATCGAGGATGCAAACACGACTCCTACATTCAACGTACCACAAAATTCTCTCCACCTTTTTCACCATCGCCTAAAGCAGTACCACCATAATTGGTCCAATATCACCTCGGACAAGTGGATACTGGAAGTGGTACAATCTGGTCTCTCCATCCCCTTTCTATCCATTCCTCCTACCACCTTTTCAGGGACACCTCTCACGAGCATCTGCTAAAGCAAGAAGTTCAGCATCTTCTGAACATCGGTACAATAGAGAAGGTACCAAGGCAGTTTTGGGGGAAAGGATTTTATTCCTGATACTTCCTTACCCCCAAAAAAACAGGAGGATGGAGACCCATTTTGGACCTACGCAAGTTAAATCGCTATCTCAGGGAACATCGCTTCAAGATGGTGCCCTTAAATGCCATCATTCCATCGTTGAACAAGGGAGACTGGTTTGCAGTCCTCGACCTGCAGAACACCTACTTCCACATAGCAATCCATGTGGCACACAGGCGTTTTCTCCGTTTCCAACTAGGTCAGGAACATTTCTAGTACAGAGTACAGCCTTTCTGCTTGGCAAGTGCACCCAGAGTTTTCACCAAAACCCTAGCGGTAGTGTCTGTCCACTTACGCAGAGTAGGAGTGACAATTTTTCCATACTTGGACAATTGCCTCATAAGAGGGCTAACATATTCAGAGGCCAGACAAATGTTAGCAACAGCCTCTCAGGTCTTTGACTCTCTGGGTCTTCTCATAAATACACAGAAGTCTTCACCAGAACCTACACAGGACCTGATTTTCATAGGGGCGAGGCTTGACTCAAAACCAGCGTGCGCTTACTTACCCGCTGACCGTTTCGCCACAGTCCGAGACCTTGTACGCACACTGACGCATGCTCCAACGTTTCCCGTTCGAGTGTCTTTACAACTAATGGGACACATGGCTGCTTCAACTGCTGTAGTTCAGAACGCAAGGTTGAATTTTCGCTGCCTCCAACACTGGTTGGCCACAGTATATATTCCAGTGAAAGACAGCATCCACAAGGTGGTCGTACTACCACCACATGTGCAACAATCCCTGCAGTGGTGGACCAAACCACACAATCTTATGGCGGGCATTCCTTTCCACCGCCCACAATCATCAAAACAAATAACGACGGATGCGTCCCTTACCGGTTAAGGAGCACATATAGACGACCTGATGGTTCAAGGTCACTGGTCCATGCAGGAGATGCTCTTACACATCAACGTTCTTAAGCTAAGAGTGGTATGATACTCATGCCAGCATTTTCAGTCCCATATAAGAAATACGACTACCAGAATCCTCACGGACAGTATTGCTACCATGTATTATGTGAACAGACAGGGAGGTGTTCGATCTCGATCCCTCTGTATAGAAGCAATGGGTTTGTGGAACTGGTGTATCCGCATCAACACCATGCTGACAGCATCCTATCTGCCGGGTATCCACAACTCTATTACGGACTCACTCAGCAGGCTTTTTCCCCACGACCACAAGTGGGAAATTCGCACAGACATTCTGCATCATATTTTCACCCAATGGGGCTTTCCTATGATATGTTTGCAACCCCAGCCAACGCCAAGTGCCCCAACTATTGCTCCAGAGCGGGAATAGGACATCGCTCTTTGGGAGACACTTTTCTCCGTCACTGGGGAACGTCATTACTATACGCTTTTCCCCCGATCATCCTAGTTCTCAGAATTCTGGAAAAGATCAGTATAGAAAGGGCTCGAGTAATCCTAGGAGCCTCAGCGTGGGTGTGTCAGCCCTGGTATTCAGTACTCCACCAGAGGTCCATCAAGACACTGTACAACCTTCCTCTGCTCCTGAACCTCTTGACTCAAGACAACGGCTCCCTGTGTCATCCGAAACCTGAAACCTTGCACCTCATGGCATGGATGCTCCTTGGTTCAACTCTGCTGAGCGCTCATGTTCACGGAGAGTTAAGGAAGTATTAGTACACAGCAGGAAGGATTCCATTTGAAAAACTTATCTAGCCAAGTGGACCAGATTTAAAGCCTGGTGTGACAGTAATATTATGGATCCCCACGTAACAAATGTATCCCAGATACTTGATTATATTTTACATCTTCATGACACAGGCCTTGCAATAGCCTCCTTGCGAGAGCACTTAGCAGCAATTAGTGCATTTCATCGAGGGGGGGAAGGGATTCTCTGTATTTGCTTACCCCACCATAAAGAGATTCCTGAAAGGACTTACAAACCTCAACCCACCATGATGACCACCACCACCACCTTCCTGGGACCTGGACTTCGTTCTAGATTCACTGACTCGCCCCCACCCCGCTTTGAGCCCTTAGCCACAATATCATTACAGCTTCTTACTACTAAATTCTGCTTACCCTTACATCAACCCGCAGAGTGAATGAGATAGCAGTGTTCATGTCATCACCACCTTACACGGTTTTTACTAAGGAGTCGATGACTTTGAGATCTCATCCAGCGTTTATTCCGAAAGTTTGTTCAGATTTTCACATCGAGCCAGTTGTTCTTCCCTGTTTCTATCCCAAAGCTCACGCTTCAAGGCATAACACAGTACTGCACATGCTCGATGTGAGGAGGGCACTAGCATTTTACATCGAAAGAACGTGGCAGTTCAGGAAATCAGACCGTCTAATAGTGTTACTAGCGGACCGATCCAAGGGACAACCCTTAACTTCCCAGCGAATTGCAAGTCTAATAGTCTCATGTATTACAACCTGCTACTCCATACGTAACAAATCCCTTTTGTGCCCACCGAGGGCCCATTCTACAAGAGCAGTTGCCACTACTACAGCCTTTCTAAGAGGTGTCCCACTTCGAGACATTTGCTGAGCAACAACATGGTCCTCCTATTCTTCTTTTATGAAGCATTACGCTGTAGTAAATCAATTTGCGGCTGATTCCTCGGTGGCTACGGCAGTCCTCTTTTTTACCCCAAAATCTTCATTCCAGAGCCCTCAAATGTTTGGATATTGCTCCAAAGTCACTAGGAGTGGAGCATCCACGGGGCCACTCGAAGAAGAAAAAGAAGTTACTCACCCTGTGAAGTAACAATTGTTCTTTGAGATGTGCCCTGTGGGTGCTCCACGACCCGCCCTTCCTCCCCGCTCTGGAATTTTATGTTTCTCGTTTCAGGGAGTAGCTGAGAGGAATTGAGCGAGGCTGGACCACGCGCAACACATCAAAGGTGCAAACACTGCTAGAGGCAGCCACGCATGCATGGTCCGGCGGACCATGGCTCTGATAGCTCTCCGATTCGCGGCGCTGGGACGGGACCCGATATCAGGAGTGGAACACCCACGGGGCACACCTCGAAGAACAGTGGTTACTTCACAGGGTGAGTAACTTCATTTTACTGCACAAGTAGCTTTCACTTCCGGACTTGGAATCTCAATTCACTTATCCTTTTTGATGACTCCCTTTACAGCTTAACAGTTCTGTTGATTCTGTATTGGCTTGCTGATGTTCAAAAAATGAACCTGGAGCTCAAGTGTTACTAATAGAATGAAGCCTAAACATTAGCATGCAGGCTATGAGATAGAGATTGAAGAATCCATTGAAAAAACATATGAAACATCAGTACATTAAGGCTGGAGTGAAGAACTAAGACCTTGGGGCCAGATGCAGTCCCTGGCTTGCCTGGATCTGGTCCCCGAAGCTCAGGGCTCCCCTTCGCCGCAGGACTGGAGCACACAAAATCTACTAGCCTGGGCATCACCTAAGCCCTGGTGTGTGAGGGGAATGTGAGGAGTGTCAGTCAGAGGCTACATCAGTGAGGATTTGGTGGGGGGGAGGAAGAGGAGGGTGGCTTCTCACTTGTGTGAGGCCTTTGAGTGATTTTTCTGAGAGTCAGCAGCCCTGACCCGAAAAAGGCTCCCCACCCCTACATCAAGGGCTAGATTGGTCTCTGTGTGTTCCCACTTGGTTTCAGAGGCAAGTCATTTCTTTTTACTGGTACTTGTAGTGGGAAAAGGTGGATTCTGGTTCTGTCTTTCTTTGTATCCTGTTGACTTGTAGGGGGAGCATTGGGGTTGTGGGTTCTGCAGTGCATAGCACTGCAATCTAGACAGCCTAACCTGGCTGAATGAGAGATGGGGAATCTACTCCATAGATGGCTATATTAAAGGTAGGCTATGTTAAAGCTAGTCTCTCACCAGCAGAAGTTGTCCAATAAAAGATACAAATTCACCCACCTTGTCTCTCTAATAGCTTGGGACCAACATGATTACAACACTGCATACTATTTGAGAGAGTGTTTAGAGATAGTTTTTTTTCCTCTGCATGGTATCTAGGAAATAACTTATGTGGAAGTTGCAATACCCCTATTGAAAAATTCTGAGTCTGCAGAACCTTTCTTGTGGTTATGTATAAGCCTTCTCTGTTACATTGATCACCTTTCCTTTTCCAGTTACTTTGAAGCCATGTTCCGTTCCTTCATGCCAGAAGATGGGCAAGTAAATATTTCTATAGGTGAAATGGTTCCCAGTAAACAAGCATTTGAGTCTATGCTGAGATACATTTACTATGGTGAAGTGAACATGCCTCCTGAAGATTCCCTGTATCCTTAAATGTACTGAAATTTACGGTCTGTAAACACAATTGAAATAGATGCTTTGGATTTCTTTTGCTATGGATACTTTAATTAGATATGTTGGGCCTGCTTCTGCTGTGTCTTACTCCAGGTGTTATTTATACCTATGAAAAGTGAGTGGAAAAAGTCTGTCAGACCAGAAGAGTAGCATATTGCATCTACTTTGCACTGCCGTAAATGCCTTAATTGCGAGGAAGTGGAGAATCAGGCCCGTCTACTAGACCATTAAATAGTTTGGCTGAGTTAAACTATAGCTAGTGTTATAATTTTGTTATGGTATTTGTTAATACATTTCACAGCAGAGATGCTGAAAAACAACATTATGTCACAGAAAGAGGAAAGTGAGGACATGTTGCAGAGTGAGCCCATGTTACACGTGCCTGGGCATGGCAGCTCCTGTCCTATGGATTTGGACCCAGCTACCTACTCCATATGTTGTGACTTAGAACATGGGATCACAATGCTGCCATAGATGGAAATGGTGAGGTAGAAGGCCCAAACTTGAGTGATGCTGTGATACAGTGCATAAGTTTGCAGCACCTCTTGGTTTGGGCACATTTCACTTGGTTCAGGGGGCATTTGTAGACTTTATTCAAATTCATGGTTTCCATGACCATTGTGACAAAATCATAGCCTTAATTATAGCTATCCAGGGATATGTACCTGGCTTTCCCAAATCCCATGTGAGACCACTGATCTATACAGTCAATCTCTCTGTTTTCCTAGCCTAATGAATATATAATTATACAAAGTGAAAAAGCTCCAACAGGATGAATTGAGAAATCCCTACCCCAAAATATGGAGTAGCTTGGCACTGAAGGTATTCATCTTCAGTGTGGAAGACTGAGATTCAAGTCCCTAATCTGGAGAAGGGTTTTAATCTGGGACTCCTCCAGTCCTGGTATACTAAGCACTGAGCTATTGGCTATTATGGGCACAGGTTCTGTTCTGGGTTGTTTGTATGAAAGGACGATCCTTCTTTGGCAGCTGTCCTCCCATCTCCAGACAAACAGAGGCTCAGGATACCATTCCTTACCTCTCCTGGCTCATAGCCCTTGATGAACCTACCTCCAGTAATCTATCTAGCTCTTTTTTGAACCCTGTTAAAGTCCTAATCTTCACCACATCCTCTGGCAAGGAGTTCCACAGCTTGACTGTGTGCTGAGTGAAGGAAAACTTCATTTTGTTTGTGTTAAACCTGCTTTCCTATTAATTTTTATTCGGTGACCCCTAGTTCTTATATTGTGGGAATAAGTAAATAACTTTTCCTTATTCACTTTTTCCACACCAATCATGATTTTATAGACCTCTATTATCTCCTCCCTTAGTCTTCTCTTTTCTAAGCTGAAAAGGCCAAGTCTTTTTAATTTCTCTTCATATGGGACCCATTCCAAATCCCTCATCATTTTTGTTTCCCTTTTCTGAACCTTTTCTAAGGCCAATATATCTTTTTTGAGATGCAATGACCACATCTGTACACAGTAGTCAAGATATGAAAATACCATCATTTTATATACTGTACAGGCACTAAGATATTCTCTGCCTTATTCTCTGTCCCTTTTTTAATGATTCCTAACATTGTTTGTTTTTTGACTGCCACTGCAGACTGAGTGAATGTTTTCAGAGAACTATCCCACTAGTTACCTCTCTCCACTCGGATAACTTACCATTTATTCCTATCTTTTGTTTCCTGCCTTTTAACCAGTTATCAATCCATGGAAGGCTCTTAAGTAAAGTAAGTTGTCATGGGATAAGAGGGAAGGTCCTTTCATGGATAGAAGATTACTGGTTAAAAGATAGGAAATAAAGGGTAGGAATAAATGGTAAGTTTTCAGAGTGGAGAGAGGTAACTAGTGGGGTTCCCCAAGGGTCTGACTTGGAAATCGAAGTACATTATATCTACTGTATCCCCCTCTTGTTGATTCCCTTTTAATTGTATCCTTTGGTATATATGGTTGTGACTATTTTCTTCCACTATTTGATCTGAGGAAGTGGGTCTGGCCCACGAAAGCTCATCATCTAATAAACCATCTTGTTAGTCTTTAAAGTGCTACATTGTCCTTCATTTTGCTTTAGAAAAGTTAGATATCTTCAAGTCACCAGGGCCTGATGAAATGCATCCTAGAATACTCAAGGAGCTGATAGAGGATGTATTTGAACCTTTTGCTATCATCTTTGAAAAATCATGGAAGTCAGGAGAGATTCCAGAAGACTGCAAAAGGGCAAATATAGTGCCCATCTATAAAAAGGGAAGATAGTGGAGCAAATAATTAAAGAATTCATCTCCAAACATCTGGAAGATAATAAAGTGATCCGTAACAGCCAGTACGAATGTGTAAAAAAAACAAATCATGTCAAACCAATCTGATAGCTTTCTTTGATAGGATACCAAGCCTTGTGGATAAGGGAGAAGCAGGGACATGAAATACCTAGACTTTAGTAAGGCATTTGGCATGGTCTCGCATGACCTTATCAATAAACTAGGGAAAAACAACTTAGATGGAGCTACTATAAGATGGGTGCATAACTGGCTGGATAACTGTTTTCAGAGAGTAATTATTAATGGTTCACAATCCTGCTGGAAGGGCATAACAAATGGAGTTCTGCGGGGGTCTGTTTTGGGACCAGGTCAATTCAATATCATCATCAAAGATTTAGATAATGGCATAGAGAGTACAATTATCATTTTCAGATGATATCAAGCTTGGAGGTGTTGCAAGTGCTTTGGAGCATAGGGCCAAAATTCAAAATGATCTAGACAAACTAGAAAAATTGTGTGAGGTTAAATGGGATGAAGATGAATAAGAAAGACGTGGAGAAATTGGAGCAGGTTCAGAGAAGAGCAACAAAAATGATTAAAGGTCTAGAAAACATGACCTATGAAGGAAGACTAAAAGTATTGGGCTTATTTAGTTTAGAAAAGAGAAGACTGAGAGAGGACATGATAGCAGTTTTCAGATATATAAAAGGGTGTTCAAAGGAGGAGGGAGAAAAATTGTTCTCCTTGGCCTCTGATGATAGGACAGCAAGGGAGGTTTAAGTTGGACATTAGGAAAAACTTCCTAATGGTCAGGGTTGTTAAACATTGGAATAAATTGCCTAGGGAGGTTGTGGAATCTATCATTGAAGATATTTAAAAGCAGGTTGGATAGACATTGTTACATTGTTCATTGTTACAGGCTGGGGACCAACCAGCTAAGTAGTAGTTCTGCAGAAAAGGACCTGGGGGTTACAGTGGATGAGAAGCTGAATATGAGTCAACAGTGTGCCCCTGTAGCCAAGAAGGCTAATGGAATATTAGGTTGCATTAAGAGGAGCATTGCCAGCAGATCCAGAGGTGTGATTATTCCTCTTTATTCGGGTCTGGTGAGGCCACATCTGGAGTATTGTGTCTAGTTCTGGGCCCCCCACTTCAAAAAGGATGTGGATGCATTGGAGAAGGTCCAGCGGAGGGCAACCAAAATGATTAGGGGGCTGGAGCATATGACCTATGAGGAGAGGCTGAAGGAGTTTGGTCTGTTAGTCTGCAGAAACGAAGAGTGAGGGGGGATTTGATAGCAGTCTTCAACTTCCTGAAGAGGTTCCAAAGAGGATGGAGAGAGGCTGTTCTCAGTAGTGACAGATGGCAGAACAAGGAGCAATGGTCTCAAGTTGTGGTGGGAGAGGTCCAGGTTGGATATTAGGAAAAACTAGTTCACTAGGAGAGTGGTGAAGCACTGGAAATGGGTTACCTAGGGAAGTGGTGGAGTCTCCATCCCTAGCGGTGTTTAAGTCTCAGCTTGAGAAAGACCCGGCTGGGTTGATTTAGTTGAGATTGGCCCTGCCTAGAGCAGGGTGCTGGACTTGATGACCTTCTGAGGTCTCTTCCAGCTCTATGGTTCTATGACTCTTTGACATTTATTAGGAATGATCTAGACAGTGCTTGTTCCTATAATGAGGTCAGGGGATGGGACTCGACCTCTAAATATCACTCCCAGTTCTAGTATTCTATGATTCTGAGTGGGGAGAAGAAATTCAGCAGTCTTTTGACCCTGTGTTATAATTATCACATACTGGTTTAGAAAATGTGAAAGCAAATTTATTAACTACAAAAGATATATATTAAATAGGTATGTCAACATGTAGTTAACTACGCGATTAACAGATAAACCTGGGCTTATCAGTTAATCCTGTCAAATACCCCCCCCCCCCCCCCCTTTTCTGCCTCTGTATCAGAGGCAGCGAAGGGGGAGGGCAGGCGGGAGCCAGTGCCTGCGAGGAGCCAGCTTTTAAGCCAATTTCCTATAAGCACTGGATCCCTTGGAGCCGCCTGACCCCACTCCCATCCTGCTGCCTCTGTTAGAGGGGCCACACAGGAGCCTCCTGTCCCCTCCTGCACTGCTACCTCTCAGAGGTGGCAGGGTGGAGCAGGTGAGAGCCGATATACGTGGAGAGCTGGCTTTTTAAGATGCAGCAGGGGGAGGGGAAGCAGGAGCCAGTCCTTGGCTATGTCAGAAGCAGCAGGGCAGAGGAGGCTTCTGCAGAGCAGTAGAGGGGAGCAGTGGATGCCAGCGCAGCCTCTGCTGCTACCCCGTGCTGCTGCCTCTGATTCAGAGGCAGCAGCATGTGGCTTGGGGGGGCTCCCAGGGAGTGGGGCTGGGAGTGCACTGGCTGCCAGCCCCACCTCCAGGGACTATCCAGTAGTCATGTAACCATTAAAATTTGATGTGGTTACACAATTATTCAATTTCACGGTATCTAACATCCCTAATTTTAAGTGATCATAAATGATAGCAAACAGATCAAAGCAGATTACATAGCAAATAAACAAAAACAGAAACTAATCATAATATGCTAGATCAGTGTTTCCCAATTTTATTTAGCCATGGAACCCTTTTAAACTCAAAAGAATTTTACAGTCCCCACTCTCTGGCTGAGCTGGCATTACACAGTGATACTTATCATGGCAAAAACAAATGAAATTTTTTAAATAAAATTCATAAATGCTTAAATATTCATTATTATTTTTTAAAATCATAAAAAGTTATTGTAATGGAATTTTCTCGCGGAACCCTTATTTTCACTTTGCATAACCCCAGGATTCCACGGAACACCATTTTGGAAACACTGTGCTAGATAGAGGGTATATTATGAGGTCACAAAAAGTCACAGAATTCGTGACTTCTACAATCTGCATGACGGACATGGAGCTCTAATTATTAGCAGTTTGGAACACAAATTTGTTCTCCTTGACTAGCTTTATAGCTACCTTTTTGCTGCCCCTTATTATTATGGCTTTTACAACAACAGACTTCAAGCATACTGCAAGCAAAACCTGGAAATGAATGTTACAGTAGAAAATGTGCTCCAGGTAATTATCCCTGATTCATTTTAATTAGTCAATGGTAGTCTTAAATACAGTAAGTAAATACATTTGGATGGACCAGCAACACTGACCAGAAGGATCTGTGATTTATTCACATTCTCAGACAAAAATACTTGTCTAAACTGCAGTTAAGATTCTAGAAATACTATAGTTTTTGGGTAGGAAAGCATTAGCATGCCAAGGAATTGAGATTAAATTTGTGAACAAAAATACGCTGAATTTGAAAATATGGGGATGAGATATGGGATACAACATTTAAGGTGGTTCTTCAAGTGCTTGCTCATGTGCACTGCAGTCAAGTGTGTGTGCGTCACGTGCACGGATCTCGGAGCTTTTTCCCTCAGCAGTATCCAAAGGGCCAGCCAGGGAGCCCCTGAAGTGACACCGGTATAACGGCACATATATACCTTTGCTGGCCCCCCCACCCCCTCAGTTCCTTCTTACCTTCTGTGGGGCAGCTGGAGCTTTAGTCTTTTCTTAGCTTTCATTGTTCCTTCATAGTATAATTAGCACCTAGTTAGTCTGTAAATAGTTCCTAGCATAGAGTGTAAATAAGGGACAGGACTATGCAGCACTTTAAAGACTAACAAGATGGTTTATTAGGTGATGAGCTTTCATGGGTCAGACCCACTTCCTGAGGAAGTGCTGCATAGTCCTGTCTTTTGTTTCAGCAAGACCAGACTAACACGGCTACATCTCTCTTACTAGTGAGAAGGGGGCTTTGTTCCTCTTCCCTGCCTCTCCCCGGCTGGGGAGGGGATGCCAGGACCGCACGGATTCAAGCCTTGTGTGTCCTGCTTGAAACCCATGCCCTGCGGGGATCCTCATGACTCCTGCCTTAAGTGCTTGGGTGAAGTTCATTGCACACAAGCCTGCAAGATCTGCAGGAGTTTTAAGCCGTGGACAAGGAGGGAGAGGGACTCTAGGCTGAAGAGACTTCTCATGGAGTCCTCTCTCCAACCGCCGGCACCAGAAAAGGCCCAGTCAGTGCACAGTGCCCCCTCCTCGGTGCGGGAGCCCTTGGTGGCACCACTCAAGGCTAATTCTAAGCCTTCCCGGCACCATTTACAGTCTCTTTCTCAGAGGAGATCCAAGGAGGGGAGGGGTTGATCCCCACAGAAAACAGGCTGCAAAGTGTGCGCGAAGGAGGGGCACTCTGCCGCAAAGGTCCAGCCCAGACTCGAGCTGAGCCCGGGCAGGGACACGCTCCCATAATGATTGAGGCTGAGGGAGCCTTGCGGGAGCTGAGACTCTCAATGACAGAGACATATCACGCGGTGTGCGACCTGATAGTACTAACCATTCCGGAGATGCCATCCTTCTCCATACCAGCGCCGAGTAGGTCGACGGTGCATTGATCAGCACAGCAAAGCTACCCTCTGACCCAGAGGAACCCGGGGCTCTGCTGGGGCCTGGTGAGTTTGAGGACCTGCCTGAGCCAGATGTCCTGCTTGAGCCCCGAGGCCTCAGAAACCCAGGGAAACTGACTGATGGGGATCCTGAGGGCTTGCCGGAGCCGGTGGACTGGCTGGAACCCCGATGCCCGCCGGAACCCTGGGGCCTGACAAACCCGCTGGAAGCTGCAGAGCTCCAACCCACGGAAGTCTGGATTGGGCTGCCCGGACCCAGCTGGGACAACACCGCCCTCGACTCCCTGACTGACCTGCCGGAGACACAGGTACCTGCGAAGGGGGAGACGAGGAGTGGCCCAGGTGGTAGCACGGGCTGAGAGCAGCCCTAGGCCAGCATGTTGCGGGCTGAAGCCCCTGCTGAGCCAGTAGCAGCTGCACTGCTGCATCCAGGGCCCCTGGGCCCGGGGCGCAGTGGACTGGGTGGGCCTGTGCCCCCCTGCCACCCACCAACCGGGTGGCAGTCTCCCCCTCATCTCTGCTGCAGGTGCGCCACCTGCCCAGCTCCTGAACTAGGAGCTCCTACAAACCTGTGTGTTTGTTTGTGGCCACGCCTTGCACCAGGGCCCAGCCACCATTTGCTGCCCCACCCTGAGTTAGGGCTGGGCCCCCATATTGTTTGCCCCCCTGCCCTGCTCCTGGCCAAGGGCTTTGCTTATTGTGTTTGTTGCCCTGCCCTGCTCCAGGGCTAGGGCCTAGTCACTGTGTTGTTTGCGGCCACACCTTGCACCAGGGCCTGACTACCATTTGCTGTCCCACCCTGAGCTAGGGTCAGGCCGCCCGTTTGTCGCCCCGCCCAGCACCAGGGCCTGGGCTTACTTAGTGTGTTTAGTGCCCCGCCCTGCTCAAGGGCCCAGGCTTACATACTGTGCTGTGGTGCCCAGCCGGATCCAGCCCAGACCCCTTAAAGGGGCAGGACTAGGACTGTTGCCCTGCCCAGAACTGTGAGCTAAGAGACTTGAGTAAACAGAGAACTTCTTCCCCCGTGGCCCGGACCTGAAGCAAGGCCAGGCACGCGAACTATTGCCTCTCACCCTGACCTGAAACAAGGCCGGGAATAGACTCACTGACTTGGACTATTTTAAGGCACGGTAGGGCAGTAGGGTGGACTAGCCACCCTCTGCACCAGGGGTGGAAGAACCACTTCCCGAAGGCCTACCGACCTACAACCAACCAGCCCCCAGAAAGGGGGGAAGCATAAAGGCTGTTATGGGCACTGCAAGAGGGCAGTGTCCCGAAAAAGATCCCGCCACCTACCATCTGAGCTAATTCCCAGGACCAACGGCTGGTGGCGCTGTGTCAGTAAGTGTACCACGCTACAGCCCAGCAGCGGAGGGAGCAGGAGGCAGGGGGTCTCCCCCTCCCCCCCCCCCCTCCCGTGGTCGTTCTCAAAGTACTCATCAGACTCGGATGTGGAGTCTCTGAGGTCAGGAAGGTCCTCGTACAGGTCTAGATCAAGGCACCAGTCCCAGGGCAGTTGGTGTCGACCCAGCCCAGCAGTACTCCCCAACAATGGCCCTTTTGGACCCTGTGGGCCTACCATCAAGCCCAAGGGGCACCTCTCAAAACATCTGTCTTGGGGTTGTCAAGGCAAGGGAGTCCTCTATCAGCGATGCCTCTGCGTAGAGCCCCTGCATCTGAGACAGGTAGGTCGAAGTCAACGGCGATCTCTAGACCACAGGTGGCTCATAGTGATGTGGCATGCAACCTCCCCCCCAACCTGAGCCCGTGCAGGCAGCTCCATCATCAGAGCCAGGACCACCAGTGGATGAGCAGATTGACAATCACCCCTTACCGAGGGACCCCTCGTTTTCCTTGCCTGATGAGGCCCTAGGTGACCCAGCCCCATCGCTGCCGTCGATGAATGCTAGGGCCCAACAGGACCTCCTGAGGAGACTGGCTGCAAACTTGTCAGTAAAGGTGGAGGAGGTGAATGAAGAGGCTGATCCAGTGGTGGACATCCTCTTGGCAGCTACCCCCAGGAGGGTGGCATTGTCTCTGATAAAAACCGTGGACAAGTTGGCTGAGACACTTTGGTTGACACCTGACTCCATCCCTCCCACCCAGAAGGGTGTGGAGAAATGGTACTTTGTCCCTTAGGAGGGACACGAGTATTTGTTCTCACATCCCCCTCCGAGCTCCTCGGTTGTCCAGACAGCGGGGCAGAGAGAACGGGAGGGTCCTACCCCCAAGGCCAAGGATCCAAATAAATTTGGTCCTTCTAGGAAGGAAGATTTGCTCCACGGGAAGCCTACAATTATGTATAGCTAACCAGGAGGCTATGTTGGGGAGGTATGCTTTCAACACATGGTCTGCTATGGACAAGTTCAGAGATCGCTTGCCGCAGGAAGACTGGCAAGCGTTCAGGGCCTTGACTGATGAGGGAAGGACGGTGGCCCGTACGGTCTTACAGGTGGCACTTGATGCAGCCAACTCGGCAGCCAGGACAATGGGGCTGTGGTCATGAGAAGAAGTGTGTGGTTGCTGGTGTCAGGCATTCCTCCCGACATCCAGACCTCCCTCCAGGACCTCCCTTTTAAGGGAGCGGGTCTTTTCTCGGACCAAACCAACTCTAAATTACATAGCCTCAAGGATTCAAGGGCGACTCTTAAATCTTTGGGGATCCACACGCCCGGGCCCCTGAGGCGGCCCCTCAACCCTAGACCTGCAGGGAGACTGTTCCAGCGGGGTTTCAATTCCAACCGGAGTAGATGAAGGGGTCGCAACTTCTCACGGAACGACCCGCCTAGAAAAAGGCGTGGGGGACCGAGGTCGGGCCAAGATAAGGGGCCCACCATGTCTGCGGGCCAGCACCCTAAACCATCATTTTGAGGGTATGGTCAAGGACAGCACACCACTCACACTTCAGTTTACCCCCCTTTGGTTTCCGTTTGTCCCATTTCTACCAGGCTTGGGCCTCCATAAATTTGGACCAGTGGGTCTTGGACCTGGTAGCACAGACTTACTCAATCCCCTTCTCCCTCCTTCCCTCCTCCATCCCCACCTTATTCCTTCCCTTCCCTCTTCAGGGACTCCTCTCACAAAACACTGCTAAAGCAGGAGGTCTCAAAGCTCCTTCACCTGAGAGCAGTGGAACCCATTCCAGACAAGTTCAGAGGAAGGAGTTTTTATTCCAGATATTTTCTCGTTCTGAAGGTGAAAGGGGGCCTTAGGCCCATTCTAGACCTCAGGGGACTGAATTCGTTTATAAAGAAAAGAAGTTCAGGATGGTCACCCTAGCTCTATCATTCCCTCCCTTCAAAAAGGAGGTTGGTTCGCTGCCCTCGACTTGAAAGATGTGTACTTCCATATTACAATAATCCCTGCCCACAGGAGATTCCTACGATTTGTGGTGGCTGGTGAACACTTTCAGTTTGTAGTCCTGCCATTCGGCCTTACCACAGCGCCGAGGGTATTCACCAAATGTATGGCCCTGGTGGCAGCTTTTTTGAGGTGTCAGTGTGTACACGTTTTCCCTTATCTGGATGATTGGCTGATTCGGGGGTCGTCTCGGGAATGGGTGGTGGCACACGTCTCGAGTATCAGGCAAATGTTTGTACAACTCGGCTTCATACT